CTTCTGTAGATCATCCCTTCTGTAGATCATCCCTTCTGTAGATCATCCCTTCTGTAGATCATCCCTACTGTAGATCATCCCTTCTGGAGATCATCCTTCCTATAGATCATCCCTTCTGTAGATCATCCCTTCTTACGCTCTTAATTAGAAATTATACACCGCAAAAACGTCTCATTGTTATCAAACGAATTCTAACAATTTTTCTCTATAGACTTTATTACTCCACTATCGGTTCATATATAATTTGCATATGTTACCTTAATCTATGACTCTTTCAAGTTTATACCTTTATATTTTCTGCCAGTGAGCAGTTACAGTAGGTACTGTAATACTCTGCGTACCAAGGGTTACGAGCGTTATTATCTGGAAGATCAGAAAGACTGTTGAAATATTCGCTAAAACCGGGAAGCGCTCTTCTGAAAGAAAAACTATTAATAAGCCAATTTCTTGTTCGGGTTTCAGCACACAAATTCTGTATTTTGTGGGAAATAAATGTTTAATATTAAGTGCAATAGACAAAGATAAAAATAAGAAATGGGTTATCGGTAGGTTTGCAGCGAATGAAACTTTCGCGAAAAATATTTTTTTCGTATTTCACAAACTTAAAATTTTTTTTTATACTTTCTTCGCAAAATGAATTTTGCGAAAGAAAGCGCAAACGATGCGTAATTTTGTGAAAAAAATATAAGACAATTTTGTGAAAATTTTTTAAAATGTTCGTTTTCCCCCGAATATTCGCATTAATCTGTTTGGCGAACAAAATTTTCGAGAAACAAAAATACAAAAGTTCCTGAAAAACACGACAATTTTCGCAATTATTTGCGAAGTTTTTGCATTCCTTTTTTGCGGACGAAATGCAAAAAATGCGAAAATTTGCTGGAAATCCTAGTTATCGGCAAAAATATTAATTAAAAAAACATTTTAAAACCTTAATGGTTGAACTGCTATTGCTCCTTCAACGACCTCCTCCCTTCCATAAACTACGGATTCTCTAGATGCCCATGCATCTGATCCTATCCAGACAAACTTGCTGGTCACATTCCTACAGTACATATTAAAGGGACTGTACGCGTAATTATAAGTGACCCTCAATGCAAAGATGGCGTTGCCCAATTTCTAACGATATCCTTGAAAGCTTCATCTGATCAAGTATAAATCAGATTTCCATGATTTTGTTTAAATTCAAACCGGTTATTTTTTGTGTGGTTTGTCTCCAAAGGTGGCTTGTAAAGTTGCAGTTGCAGTTGCGTATAAGAAGAAGAAATTTCGATTTAGAAAATTAAGCTATCTTCAACATTTTTTATCAGATTAAGGTTTCAAAGGTCCTGTTGTGAATCGGACATTGCCATCTTTGAATGGAAAGTCACTTGAAATTACGCTTACTATTTAATTAAAACCTGTAAACGATGTAGAAAATGTTGAAAGTCTAAATAGGCAGAGTCAAACATGTAATTCCTAGCTTGCAACCAACTCAGAGAAAAAGTGCCAATTGTAATTATAATAAGATTATTAAAGGATTTACATTTAATAAAAAGTTTTTTTCTTTCAAAATATGTTTTTTTTTCTATATTTTTACCTATTTTTAGCTGCCTCTAGTAGTTTACCAGCGGGGATTCTGTCTGCAAACACTATCACAACCTGCATCAATCATATTAAATATTTATAATACTACTAGCTAAAGTGCCCTGCCCGCGGAATTTTAGAAACCACTTTAAAAAAATTCGAAATTTTATATTTTTTTGGAATTTAAAAAAAATTAATTTACCAACAAAAAAGTGTTTATCTGTTTTTTCAATATTGATAAACGATAATTTTAAATGCTTTTTATATTTTAGACTTACCTTGGTCATCTGATTTTTAAGTAGATTATTTATAACATCATCATAATTACCATCCTAGAAACAAATATATATTCAAAAATTTTTTTTTTTTATGAAAAAACTCATCAACATAAAGTTCTCGATGGGATTATCTTTTTTAAAGAATTTTTTAGACTTTTGATTCTTTGATTTATGCAAGACATTATATTTTAGTGCAAAAGGAACCCGGGAAAAGAAATTATAGTAGTCGGGGTTTAAATTTTATTTCATGATTTTAAATTGAAAAATGTTGGCTTTTTAATATGTTTTACCCACTTAAAGTTTTGAACGTATAGCAATAAAGAATAAATAAAGTATAATTCTATAATTAAAAAAATATTTGTGTCAACACCTGTATTATCAGGGGCTTGGCAAGACAAACTTTCTTCCCAGCAAGAGCATACTTAACTTAAACATATGGATAGATAGATAGAATAAAAATGTATACATTTTAAATTATATAATTTATAAATATATAAATTATAGCCAGTGTTACAGTGTGACCATTTCTGGTTGTTTTAATTGAATTGGCTTGCCCTTCTAAGTTTTAGACATACGATCGTTTTTTACTTTTTTTTAAACTATACACAAACAACCCTACCTAGAGCTTCATATCCGGTTGTACCGTAGTCTGTTTGGGTGTGTACAACTGATGCGTAGTGATATCCCAATACTTCTAAAACCTAACAGAACAAAATAATAAGTATTAACCTTTCACGAAAATGGCATTTTTTTAATTAAATATATCTAAAATGTATGAAATTGAATTGCTAATAAAAACTTTTTCATTAAAAAATCCAAGAATTACCCCTAAAATAGCTCTGGCTTGATGAATATCACTAGGAACTGTGCGGAAAAAGTACGGAAACTCATTCTAAAAAGTGCATTCAATTTGTTTGTGTCGTATTAGACAATTTAAGTCAAAACTGTAATATTAAATTTAAACATTCAGATGTTACAATTTACAACCTGTAACTGTCGAATTAAATTCTATGCATTCATTTAAATATTTGATATATATATTTATTTGTTTCATATATCTATGTACTTTAAACGACGATTGTTTGGCCGCTAGGTGTCTCTCCTATACCCTTAAGATCAAGAGCAGAGACACCTGGCGGCCAAATAATCATTGTTTAGATATAAAACAAATACAAAATATTATGAAATATCACCTATATATGAATCACGCGGATTAAACGGTTCGGTCCTTATTCCAGAGAACAGTGTCGATCACAATTTGACCCATTGGCATTAAACATTGTTTTTTAGCATTTTTCCTCAAATACTTTTTTGTCGGCATATGCATTTTGAATGAAAAAGTACAGAATAAACAAATAAGGTAAAAGATTGTTGAATTATAGACCAAAACACGTTTGATTTCAAATAGAAGAAACCGAAATGCTGCACACTCTGGTTAGTCCGGGTGGAATGCATAGAATTTAATTCTACATTTATAGGTTAAAAAATCGGAATGACTAATTTTAAATTTAATTGATCTTTTTACGATTTGAGTAAGAAAAAGCAACTCTGTGAATTTGTGGACGCTAATATCTTAGGTATAAGACATTTTTAACCATTTTCTCCTAATAGACGCAGCAGATAAAAGTAAAATTACTAACGATTTACATCTAATTCAATCCGACATCAACCTATACCCCCTTTCATTTTTCGCGAACACTCCCTTGAAGTATTAAACCAATAACTGACCTGATCGCTCAAAACGACAGCTGTAGAGAGATAACTGATTTGAGGAACCTTAAAATCGAATACACGGAAAAATAATGAAAATTGTGTGCTAAATCGGAAATTTCCGTAATTTTAAATAAAGCCCCTCTTTCCGGAGATTTTTAGAAGAAAAAAACTCACAAATTTCTTACATGCAACCAAACAAAGGAATTGAGTCTCTGACAACAAACTAAATTTTTCTAATTCCTACATCTTTGCAACAACTGATGGTGTAAACCTTTGATGTTTCAAACTTAGATTGTTTTATCTAACGGATTTCATAGTTTGAAATATCTAAGGTATACGACATTGGGTTGCAATGATATAGGGATTAGAAAATCAAAGACTCAATTCCTTTGTTTTCTCAACCGTTGGCGTAAAGTTAGAGAATCACAAAGTCGTATCTGCAGTTATTTCGAACAAAATTATACATTTTACTTGGAGATAAGTGAATAGTGATAATGCAACTGTATATACTATATACTATATACTTACCTTAAACAATCTTCCTAAACGAGCCACTTCCAGGGAAACCTGAATAAAAAACGAAAATTTACTTATTTCCCGAACTTTGAACCATTGCATTCTTTTACATCTTAATATTCAGTTTCTATAGTGAATACAAACATTTTACTCAAAATACGTAGATTCAGTAAATTCAATTTTATTCTGATTATAAACAATTCTGATAAAAATATTATTATTTTTTCATTATATTTCTGAACATTATAATAAAGCTCTTTGCTTAGTTATATGTATGTGGTATCTAAATATATAAAGTTGTAATCTATGTTTGTTTGTCTGTCTGTCTGTGTGTTTTCCGATCATAACTAAGGAACCCCTGGACCGATTTGCCTCAAATTTTGATGGAGGAACTCGGGTTTTGCGATTCTAATTTGAGTTATAGGTCGACTTGAATAGTAAAAATTTAGTTTCCCGGTAAAATCGTTCAAGTGCGGGTAAACGGCGGAGTAACTTTTATTTAGTAACCTGGACAGTGTTCGGTTCCCAAGCTAGTAATATACAAATTTTGGCCATGTCCATAGTTTGCCAAATGCCTTGACCATATTAGCTGACATTTTTTTAGAGGTCCCATTTAGAGCTAGTATAATATATAATAACATATAGATATTGACCTGGCTTGTCTGAGCTCCAATAATACCCACAATATTCTTGACAGTTTCATTGCTACAGAATACGTCAGGATGGATGGTTTTCACACTACGGTACATAAATCCCTGATATAAGAATAATTTGATTATCAATTTTATTACTTAATATACTTGTTAATTGTCACGTTAATTGTTTAAACCATTTAAGATTTAGCTGTAGATTTTACATTAATTAACATACTCAGCAGCAGCTTAACTTAAAACAAAATTATAAAAGCAGAACCAGGACTGAACAAACTGGAACGCAGGGGGGACGGGGGGTGAACCTAGGAGACAACAGCAGTCACAACCGTATAAAGTTCTGCTGCATATCTAGGAGTATCTAGGAGTACCTGGAGAAGATCTAGGGATTATTCTGCTGCATATCTAGGAGTATCTATGAGTGCCTCGAGAAGATGTAGGGATTGCTCTGCAGCATATCTAGGAGTATCTAGGAGTACCTGGAGAAAATCTAGGGATTATTCTGCTGCATATCTAGGAGTATCTATGAGTGCCTCGAGAAGATGTAGGGATTGTTCTGCTGCATATCTAGGAGAATCTAGGAGTACCAGAAAAAAAGGGATTTTTCTTCAGCATATCTAGGAGTATCTAGGAGTTATAGGAGTACCTGGAGAAGATCTAGGGATTGCTCTGCAGCGTATCTGGGAGTATCTAGGAATACCCAGAGAAGATCTAGGGATTGCTCTGCAGCATATCTGGGAGTATCTAGGAGTACCTGGAGTAGATCTAGGGATTGCTCTGGAGCATATCTGGGAGTATTTAGGAGTACCTGAAGAAGATCTAGTGATTGCTCTGTAGCATATCTGGGAGTATTTAGAAGTACCTGAAGAAGATCTAGGGATTGCTCTGCAGCATATCTGGGAGTATTTAGGAGTACCTGAAGAAGATCTAGGGATTGCTCTGCAGCATATCTGGGAGTATCACAGGAGTCTCGAACAATGGCTCCCAACTTTATATTCGGCAGAATACTTTCATTCCTTTATAAATTTATCATTAGACATTGCCACTGCAAACTATCTATGTCACAATGCCACATCACTGCCACAACTTATGACCTTGTAGCTCCTCAAGCTTGGATTTTACGCACTAGTATGTGAAAACCTATTTATTGGGTTACATTTTAGACTTTCACAAGAAAATTGTTCTCAATAGCTCATCAATTCAAGGACTTATGATTGAAAACATATAAGAGTTCAACTTTGTGTGCACTTTAGTTTGATAATAACACTTTCTGAATCTGACCTATTTATTTCATCCAGGGTGAAGAGAAGAGCTTCCAGAGGTTGTATTCCGTCTTCATCCTGAATCTGTCCACAGAGTTCTCCAGCCTCACCTAGGGTTTTCAGCGAAATGGAGAAAACGATTTTTTTTGCAAATTTTTTCAAAATTCATTTTCGCGAAAAAAAATGCGAAAAAGTTTGAGAAATTTGAGGAGAAAAAAATACCGAAATTTCGCTTTTTTTTGCGAAAGTTTTCGTTCGCTGGAAACCCTAGCCTCACCTTGCTTATGTATCGGGAACAGTGCTCCCAACATTATATCGCCGCTGGTGAACAGAAAACAATATTTTAATAAGTTTTGAAAATAAAATCGTTAAATATTTTATTTTTAAACCGACAAATAATTTTAAGCCGTTTTAATACCATTATGGGCTATACCAGTTTAGACATTTCGACGTTTTTTGTTTTTTTTTACAACCCTGTCAGAAACATCTTTAATATTTTTCAGATACATTTTTTGAAATCGCAATCACGTTTGATTATTTCAGAACTAACCTGTATGTAAGATACGGAACTTCAGTTGAAATGTGAGGAATATACTGCACTAGCAGAAATATCCATAAAAGCTTTGGCATCTTGAAGAACCTAAAAATAGATTTCAAAGTTTTTAAATTGAGCCACTTTAGTGTTTATTTATCCTTATGAGTTTAACAATTTTGATGTTTACAATTAAAAGAAAACATATATTTAATCTGTAGTTTCGAAAAATCCAACTTGCCCTAAAGGAACTGATTACTAGCTTCCTTAGCCTCCAATATTTAATTTTGCAACCCGATAATGTAAACCGTTGATACTGCCAATTTCGACGTTAAGATCTAGCAGACTTCATAGCTGGAAATATCAACTTAAAATATATACAAATACACTAAAAATTGTCACTCTAGCACTTTTTAGAATTTGTGTAGAATTTTTAAATGTTATCTTTAAAAATGTGCCTTCAACATTTTCTAAGTAGATGATTTTTAAAATATAAATGTATGTTTAAATTATAATACTTGGTAAGTTCAAATATCATTCCGAAATACGTTTAGAAATTCTATTAAAGAACTCCTTTTACCTAAGAGTAAGCCCAGACATTTTCCCGACCAAAATGAGCAATATTGAAAAATAAAAACTGACGAAACTTAATTTTAAAAAATAACTATTCATATGAAAATGCTATTTCTGTCTACATAATTGTGTTTTATTGGATTCTATTCTATTTTGAAAAATAAAAAATGTTCCTGTTTAAAGAAATGTATTTTATATTTTAAGGGATTGTAAGCATAATTACAACTATATTTCCATGTAAAGAGGACAATGCCAGATTTACAATGGTACCCTTGGAACCTATATATAATCAAGGGTGAATTAGATATCAATGTTTATAATTTTGTAAACTGATTAATATTAATTGTGGGTTCGCTACAAAAGTGACTTGCGCATTTCTACTGCAGGAAAACAAATAGGAACTGTTAAACCTAGAAAAACGACAATATCTTACCCATTATTGATCAGATAAAGGTTTCAAAGGTACAGTTGAGAATCACGCAATGTCGTCATTACATGAAGAGTCGTTTTAAATTACATTTTCTTACTTTCTTTCTGGATACACGTGTTTTTTTCTGGATACACGTGTTTCTTTCTGGATACACGCGTTTCTTTCAACTTTCTTGATAGACGTGTTTCTTTCTGGATACACGTGTTTCTTTCAATTTTCTGGATACACGTGTTTCTTTCAACTTTCCGGATGCACGTGTTTCTTTCAACTTTCTGGAGACACGTGTTTCTTTCTGGATACACGTGTTTCTTCTAGCTTTCTCTACATTTCAATTCCCTTGATTTTGAGAGAGATGTATTTTAAATACGCTCTGTGTTCTGTTAGTTAGATAAACATTACTAAGTAAATCGGCACTATTTTATCTGATTTTAAATCATTTTTACAAAAAAAAACCAATCAAACAATTTATTAGCGTAAAATATAAATTTATGCGGCATCACTGGTACAACTTTGTGACCTCGTAGCTCCTCTAGTGTTGATATTACGCAAAATGATGAGAAAGGCAAACTTATTATTCACAATAATATAAATCTAAATAATGTTGTCTTCTTCTCTCTAGCTCTTCAATTAAAGGAGTTTTGATTGAAAACAATAAGATTTCAATTTTAGGTGACAAAAACAGTTGTTTTAGTTTTACCAGTCTCATAGATTCCATACTCCATAGAGCATGAATATGTTAGAAAGCGGTTGTATTTTTTTTCTATAGAGCATAGAAAATGTAGTGTAACTAAACAATTGATTCATTAACATTTACGCATGATTTACATCATAAATGCTATTTGTTTTTGTTCATTTTTCTGCTCAGAATCAAATAGATTCTATAAATTCTAGT